GATCAGAAAACAGCCACAATGTAGTACAACTAAACCCTGATGAAAATAAATATTATATTTTCACTCCATATCCCACATTAATGCAATCACTCAAAAAATTTTCACCAGAAAGCATTCGCGCTATTGCTCGAAACCCAAATATAGACTTACAATCAATAGGAATCTATTCAAAATCAGATATTCAACATCACATTAGAACACAACAATTCCAAGAATTATTAACACAAATGGACACTATACAAAGACAATCAATAGACCAAAATTTACGCAAACTTGCAGAAACCGCAGGATTTGCCGATATCTACACGCAAGACTATAGCGGATATTTTAAAGACATTAAAGATTATATATATCTAAACGGTGAAAAATACCGTCCCCAAGATATATCACCAATTAACATTTTCAGCTTTGTTACACTCAAAAATGAGATCCTCGATTTTCTAGGATGGCCCTACTACATCTTAGAAAAATTGACTATTTTATACGTAATGTTTAACTTTATTGGATTTCTTTTCTCACTTTTAAAAGGAATCTACAACACATGTGCTATACACACACAAGTAAACAGACAAGCAAGCGTAGCACGCATACTCTTTGCAGGATTTTTTGGAATCTTTTCTACATCTATAAACAAAATTCTTTTAGACGCACAAATAAAAGAATATAACACAAAAATAGCAACACGACAAAATACATACGACGAAGAACATAACAATGTAGACATAACGCCAACGGCACCACAATTACCACCCCTACCAAATAACCATCCACTATCCCTAGTCCCACGAAATTTTCGAAATTTAGCCATCACACATAATCCAAATTTTCGACTCACCACATCACAAAGTCCCATTCAACATATAATGACACACCAGTCACAAGATCATAATACTTATGAACAAATTATTGAACAACCCCATACCACCGCTTTTCAGTCTCAAAATAATCATTTTTTTAGCCCACGATGAGCCGCCAACTTGGATCACTACACCGATCAAATTCCCACCCAACCAATCTTACCTCTCCAATCCCAATAATACCACTTTTTGCTTTTCCGCCACCCGATTTTCCATCTAGTAATGTAACATCAGGCATGAATTCCGACACTAATTCACACATCTCAGTTTTATATTCCATCTCACAACTCAATAACCCGAATATTGAAACCCCCGATGAATTTGCCGACTCAGAACCATCCCCATCCAATAATTTTCATAATTCTTCTAATTTTTCTCAACCCCCTTTTCAACCCATATTATCCAATAACCCTGACCCAATCACTCCCACACCCTCTTATGCTTCCCAAGCTACCCCAACCTACTCCTCATTTCATTCTGACCAATCATCTCATTCTCCAGACACCCCCCGAATCTCCCCAGAGCTAGATAATTTTATTACCCTTCAACAACAACCCTACCACCTCCATACCCCAACAATAAACCAAATCTCCTCCACAATAAATTCATTCAACCCCCCTACCCCTACACCCTCTTCAAATTATACTGAATCATTAGCACCATCATCCACATCAACTGAATCTTCACACAATACTAATAGAGCTTACCGCACTTTTAAAAGAAAGTTCCCCAACCATCCTTTCCCAGCAAAACCAGGAACAGCCCGTGAATACATCAACCACCCCAAGCATACTAACACAAAAGAATTTTTAGCCATCACCTTACCCTCATTCCCACAATACACCTTAAACACCCCCCACGACACTAACGAAACACGCAACTTTGTAGATGAATACGTTTTAATGCCCACTCTCTCTTGGACCTCATATTATCATTTTACTAACCCTCTTTGCTTACCTTTATCTAACACTCACATCGATATAGAGCGAAATACGGACATGCTATATCGACTCACTACACCACTAACCGCTAGACAATTTACTTACGTTGGATATAAAAAATCACTAAAAACACACACTGCACCTAGAGCTAACGAATATACACTCGAATACTATGATCACAACATCATCAGAGCTAACCAAGATCAATTCTTAGACGACGATCGCTTCGCTAATCCACAAATTACCGAAAAATTTTTCATCAAGACACCATATATATTTACACTAAACATCTTCGACCGAAAGTTTGATCACATTATTTCAGAAGCACTAACAGACACACAAGCATACGAAAGTTTTAAAGAACGCTTCCAAATATTTTCACTAACCTTTCATTTCCTTGCACCACACGAAAGAGATTTACACTGCTCACACGATATTATGTTGCGCACTAAACAAACCCACACATATAGTTATTATCGCTTCATCCAAAATCACTTTGACCTACACACACCCTCTAGACAACCACACCATCGTTTTCAATTCATTAATTCCAAATACACTTCACCATTTTTCCTAAATTTCACATATTGTATTAAAGATACTAACCTTCATGGTATTCTTCGCAATTATGATCCCATAACCCAAATGTACATCTTCTGTCCCATCACCAAGACCTTCAACGCCGAAGAATCCCGACCCTTCCTTATCCCGCACGAGTTTGTACAACCTATAGAAATCCCAATTTTAGAATTCATCCACAACACTAAATTCAATCACAAATTATATAATCTAATCCAAAACACACCTTATGAGTTTGCAGTTGGCACTGAAGAACTAACCACTATTAAGGCACTTCAATTGCTTTGGCCACTGTTTCAGACTAAAAATATCATCCGCATCTTAGCTAAACTACTAACAAATTCCGATCTCATCCACGACATCTTCCCCCACGGTTTTTTCCCCGACGACTAACAGGTAAGTATGAATTAAATGAATATTACTAACTAATTAAAATATTAAAAACTCACCATTCTTTATCCATGTTTTCTTTAGATTTTTAGCCTTCATCCGACAATCACCTACAAAAACCACAAAAGACAATAAAAATCGCAAATTTCATCAAACAGATTTCAAAAATTCTATTAATCTCTTACACTTATAAATTTATAAATTTAATAACAATGCAGTAAATTCATTTCTAAAATTTTCCCCACAAGCAGTAAATCTAATTATGATGAAAATTTGTAACTTAAAATTCCCCCATAACTAGCAGTAAATTTCCAAATTCTATGAAGTAAATTAATAAAATGCAAATGCAGTACTAACCTTTTAATATTCTCATTTATTCGCACAGAAATTCTATCCACACTCGCACAGCTCGCCCACGAAGAATTGTTTAAAATAATGAATTTCAGTTTCAAGTTTTCACACTCAACAACTCTAACATATAATAACATGTTTCAAACCTTCCTTTAACCCGGTTGGAAAGGAATCATATACTAAACAAAACTAACCAACGCAGCTTACTAAATACCACAAGTCATAGAATAACAGCATGACTAAGAAAAGGAAACCAACGGTACCCAAACCGGATTAACCCAGTTTAAAACTGGATAATTTATTCTTTTGAAGACTATTATAAAGTCTAAGAAAGAAATAATAAAACACAAAAAAGTCGAAAGACAAACCCATACCACGAACAATTTGCTTTTTGGAAAAAGGACATAACCAACAAGACATAAGTAAAACCACAACAAACCCAACATAAAACGTTGTCACATAACAGGACCCCTCACAAACACCGCATGAAATCATACTCCCACTCCTGGCCTAACCCACCAGGAAGGACGTCCTGAGCATGCTCTATAGCCGGCCTAACCCACCGCGCTACATCCACGATTTGTGACCACACCTCTATTTTCAATAAGAGCTACTCAAGTGTGAGTAACTCTTCAAAATAACCAAACTAAAACAAAAAGCTTTTGTGAAAACAACTAACTAAAATCATAATTAAAAAATATTAAACTAATAAATGTTTTATAAAATGTAAATTACATTATGCAATACATAGATCAGAATACAACACCAAGGACGAACATCTAAAGACAAAACGACCCCACTACACTCGAGAGAGAATGGCCAACCACAATCGATATGCCACTCACAATCACAATTCAGTTAAACACGCAATATTCTGTACAGATTTGGTAAAACTTGAGTTTTTAATTGCAGCTTCATTTTTTTCCATGCTAAATCACAAAACTTGATTGTGATATGAAAAGACTGCTATGACCAATCAAACTTTGCATGTAAGCCTTTGGAGATGCTCAAATTTTTAGCGGTGAATCAACGTAACTTAGAATTGGAAAAACTGTATCAAAGACAGGGATCTTGCATGCATTCGTGTTATTACTTGAGTGAAAACTCTCGTGATTTTCATGTTTTCACTTGAATTTTTAAACACGTGAGCATTGCTGGAGTGAAAATACTTTTAAATATTTAAGAGTGTGGCTTACTGGAACCTGATCTAAACTACATTTTATGATTGGATAAATTAGATATTTTACCAATGTAAAGTATTTAATATTAACCAATCATGATCCATCTAACTAACAACCCACTTATTTGTAAGTGCTGAAGTTACTTGTAATTTCAGCACCAGAGAGATTTGAATTTAACTTAGAAATTAGTTGGACTCTCCCGAGCACTTCAGCAGCCGCAATAAACCAGTATACCCTAGATCTATTGAGCCTAGCAGAGACTAGTTAAACAACCTGAGACTAGATAGTATAAGAGTAAGATTAGGATCGGTATTAGACTAAGAAGTTGCACGAATCTATCCGGCCGAAAATAAGATAGCGTGACGAGCAGACGGTGTACCCTATCCGAAATTACTCTATGAGTTATACACTCCAGTCCTAACTCATTACTGTTGTTTTGAAATAGATAAATAGAGGTTATTGTTTATAGCAATTATGCATACCCTCAAATAAGAAATGGCATCCGACAACTCGAACCCCGATTTGTTCACCTGTCACTCGTCAAATCACTCTTGGTCGTCATTTTGAACATCGTTTTCCAAGCTAACATCTTCGTCGTCATCTACAGCGTGGCACGATGCTCGCCAGAAATCTCGGGCTTCAATATTACTCAGATTCGATCCTGGAATGAAACGAATCCGTCTTTTAAAGTGTCTGTTATGATGTCATCAGTGAGTGCATCCTCAATTTTTGCTCAGGTAAGACCATTTTTAAATGGAATACAAAAAAATTCAGATGTTTAACCTGGGTATAGGTCCGTCCGCGCTTTCCGTCCAGGCTATCTCGACCAATTTTTGACATACCCAGACTTTTGCGACCGAACATATCCTTCGGCGGAGATGGTGCAACCCAGAAAATGCAACGAACCTGAAAAAAAAATTTTAATTGTGATTTCTTCACGCGAAATCATGAATTTCGAAAAATCATGACTCTCAAAAAATTGTCGAGGATTGTGTTAGCAGTTGTATCGAACTCGGCTCTTTTTCCTTCCCCCCCCCCACCTGCAATTTTTTTTATATATTTGAAGTTCCTGCTCATTTTGTCCGATTGTCATGAAAATTGACATGCAGACTAATTAGGCCTTGACAAACATTTTTGGTCTTCATAATTAACCTTGTAAAACTACTCGTTAGTCCAAGAAAATCATGTTTCAGTGAGGTGGGGGGGGGGGGGAGAAAAAAGAGCCTCGAATTCGTCCAGTCATACGTGCCTTTTTAAATTATCCCGTCAAAACTAGCAAAACTGAAGAAATTGAACGCCTTTTTTAAAAATCATTTCGAAGGAAACTTCAATTTATACCGAAAACAATATTATGCAATGACGAACATCAAGTTAAAACTATCGGGTCAACTATAGACCAGGTTATGAAAGTTTTTGATTTTTTTTGGAATCTAAATCACGGCTCTGAATTAGCCTAACAATGAAACTTAAGTTGATTCTCTATGAGGTTTCCTTAGTGTAGTCAGAATCGGGCGAACAACGAAAATTTTTTTGAACAGTGCCGAAAATAATTTTGTATACAGTTACCACTCATCCCTAATCACTGACTGAAGTAAATGTAGTAAAAGTGTCGGGGTGATAAATAACACACCTTGTGCCATAGTACTTTCGCACGACCGGCTCTTTTTCCTTTTTGCCCCCACCTGCAAATTTTTATATTTGAAGTTACTGTTCACTTTGTCCGATTGTCGTAAAAATTGACATGCAGACTAATTAGGCCATAACAAGCATATTTGGTCATCATAATTAACCTTGTAAAGCCACTCTTTAGACAATAAAGTTCATGTTTGAGTGATGTGGGGGGGGGGAAGAAAAAAGAGCCGCACGGCCTTCCAGGGGTGATAAATCAGAACAACCTTCCAGTCAGAACAATAATTTTTTCTAAAACGATTTTAAATCGATTTTAAATTGATTCAAATCGATTAACAATGTACATTTTACGAACTTAAATGGATTATCAATCAATTTAAATTGATCTTTTTTGAGTGTCTAAAAAATCGAGTGTCTAAAAATCGAGTTTCTGGATCAATTTGAGTGTCTAAAAAATCGATTTAAATCGATTTAGATGGGTTTTCGGACTCATTAAAATCCATCCGAATCTTACTTAAATCCATTTTAAATCGTTTGGATCGGTTTAAGTGTAATAAAATGTGAAATAAAATCGATTTGCATGGATTTTCAGACTCCCTAAACTCAACTTTTTTGCTAACAAGGCAAAAAAAACGTACTTTTTAGAGTAAATAATTGAATTAATTTATTTTCAATTTTTTTTGAAATAAAAATACACGTGCCAGATAATATAGAACTCAGTAAAATGATCCCCATAAATCAGATGTTAATCTCGAAAATACGCAATGAAATCATAGAAAATCATTATAAATCAGATAATGGGCAAAATTCTATGTAACAAACAAGAAAAGGGTCAGAACGATTTAAATTTTGATCTCAATATTATGCAATTAAATCATAGAAAATCATGAATTTAATTCAGATTTTGAGCAGAAACTTATGAGACGAATCAAGAAAAGGGTCGTTATAGATCAGTTTTTGAACTAAAAATATGCAAGGAAATGAAAGAGTTTTATCGATATTTTGGTCTTTTTTGGTTTTTTTAATGAAACAATACACTATGTGTGTAAAATCAAAATTGGTAGGCAATAAATAAAGGCAGCAACAATTCGAAACTGATGGAACTTGAATGAAAAAATCGATTTAAATCCGTTTTAATCCTTTTAGAAAAAATGAATTAAGACTGGAAAAAATGGATTTAAATCGATTTAAAATCGATTTGGATCAGTTTTTTTAGCTGGGATTTAAGGTCAATTTAAATTAATTTTAAATCGATCCAAGTCAATCTTTACCTTTTTTTTTCAATCTTTGTACTTTTTTTCATACTAAAACCGATTTAAATTTAATCAACGTACTTTTTTCATACTAAAATCGATCGTAATCCATTTTTGTCAGTGCGGGTTTGCAAATGTTTGTGGCGGGATTGAAACAGACACCCGATTACAAAGAAAATTCTTAGCCATTTTTCAAATGATCGGAACAAGTTTTATCCAAATAAAGTTAATGAAAAAGACGCTAAAACTTTCGGGTCCGTTCGTGAAAAAATATTTTTAAAATCAATCTTTTATGAGGTCCAAGAAAAATATTAACAAGAGTAGAAACTCCAAAAATTTGTGCAAACGTTTTATTATGTGTTTTGAAATAAATGATTGGTATATTTCATTTAAAAAAATGCATTTTGGCAATTAACCAAAATATATTTCTTTTTTACAAAGCATAGAAGCTGAAACCTTTAATAGACTTTGCTTTTCAGAATATCATGTCATTTTCAGACCTAAAAGTAAACAAGACTGCTCGCATATCCTGACAAAGCCCTGAATGTTCCGTTTACAGTTTGAGGCCAATTTAAAAAGTTTTTGATTGAAAAATTGACGAAATAAATTTTTTTTTTCAATATATCCCCTCTTCTACAAGCAGATTTAAACAACAATAGAGGTATTTAGCGTCATGTATCCTAATATTACGACCAAATGACTTGATGCGCCGCTGGAGCTCATTAATGCGCGGCTTTTGAGTGTTATAAGAACGCAATATATCGCACGTGAATTATCACAAATTGGCCAAAATAGCAGTTTTTAAACCCCCATTTTTATCAAAAATGATCACAGTTCTAATATCTTTTTAACTTTGAGCTCACGAAAACAATGTTTCATAGATGGTATTAAGAAGTTTCGTCAAAAATGCTTTGTTTAAAAGTCAAGGTATGCTCCAGTTACAGAACCATAGGAAAACTTCGACTTCCTGTCAACAACTTAAAGGATCCAGCACAAGAAAAATCCTTGAAGACTAGGCCTGAGTATTTGCTAGTTACCCTTTCGGGAAATCGGAAGTTTTTACAACATTTTTATTATTTTTTAGTCACCGCAAAGTTATTTATAGTTTCAAGCAAGCGTTTGAAAAAAAATGTTGCACACAAAAATATAACTATTTTGATGTATAACGCAGTTCAGACACACTTTTTTTGCAAAAAAAAAACAAAAATCTGAATGGTTAATTGACTGATGTGCTTTTCAATGGTAAGATAAACCATAACTATTACGACAAAAAATATCCCAAAATATTTCATACGTCGTTTTGCTGGGGAGAAGCTATCTAGCCACATGGAGAAATTTGTCTGAATAAATTTCTCCAGGCCTGGTGTCTAAATTTGTCCAGGCCTGGTGTTTAAATTTGTCCAGGCCTGGTGTCCTAAACAAGTTTGTCCAGGCCTGGTGTCTTAGACTGCTCCAGGAAGTCCAAATTATTCCCTGCAAGACTTTGACTGGGTTTTTCCCTGCTCAGGCCTGGCTCAAGGGTTGAACTCCCATGGACAGGTTACCGGGGTGACTGAATAAAAAAAACGACCGCAAGCATAAATACTCTGCACTTTGTTCGAAAAAATTTGCATCTACTCATCAAGAGCTGAAACAATTAGTTTAAATCAGACCATTGGGGATAAATTATCTAGCCTAGTATAACTCTAATTCATGTGTTTTTCTCTTCTTATCTGTCGTTCGGAAAAAAGACAAGATAAATTTGTACTTGTTTCTCAGGTGCTAAATTGTGTTCACGCAGCAGCTCTGGCTTTTTCCAGTAGCGGTTGCTTTCAAAGCAGTGAGGAGAAGTTACGCTACTATAATGTACAGATCACGCTTGGCTTTCTGGACTTCTTGGCCCGGACGGTGGTGGTGTTTGCTCTGGTTTTGCAGATATCAGCTTCAGACAAATGTGTCCAAGAAGACAAACGGTGCGCATTACTCATTATAACTTTACCAGAAGTATTAATAGTGCTTATTATAAAATGCTTCAATCGTTAAAATTAGCATTCAATATGCCCCAGTCACTTGGCAAAACAAATAAGCATCGATCCTTGTAATTGACTATTGCAGACAAAAATTTTCATTTTTTTTTCTTATTCAGAAGTTTAAGCGAAAAGCTGTTTAAAACGAAAAGCAAAAATTTCCATTGGTCATTTCTGAAGTACTATTACGCTTCAGGTACAACTTCTAACGCTTCCTGATTTGTTTCAGAGTGACTCATTTCTTCATGATCATGACCATGCACGTCAACATGGAGTTCCTTACATCTCTCAACGTCATCAGAAGAAACATCATCGTTCCTAACATTGTCTACACTTTCCAATCAGCTGGCAAGGGTTCCTTATACGGAACTGGAGGCACTGAGAACGGGTTCTATCTCCCCCTTGAAGGGGCAGACGGAAGCGGACTGATGGTAGATGAAAACGGAGAAGAAATGCATGTGATGATATACACTAATGAGCCAACGTGGTGGTATTTCATCTGCCACGCCATTGTGATGACCTTATCGATTTTGATTATGTCAGCGCTGTTTGTAAAACATAGTATGTGCTTGAATATTATTGCGATTATGCTGGTTTTCTATGCATTTTGGCCAAAATAATTTTTAAGACTTTCCGTCATACTCATAAGCAATAAATTTAAGTGAATAATGTTATTTTAATTTTACTTGACCAGAATTGTCAAATCTGAGAAGTCAAGATAGCCCGGGTTTCCAAAAAATGCTTATCATAAAATTCCTATGGAAAAAATGCTTGTCATACGATTCCATACAATTCCATAGAATTAAAAAAAAATCGTATGAAAATCACATGATAACCATTTTTTCCATACAATGGAATTGTATGATAACTATTTTTTGTATGGAATTGTATGATAAGCATTTTTTTTGTATGGAGGTCAACCCGGGAGGTCGAAATCAACTGCTAGAATTCTCAAGAACTGAAATAACAAAAATGTTCGACAAGACAGTCAGTCTGTATATATTTTAATTCAGTTTGATATCAATGAACAATTTATTACTAGTGTTTAAATCTTTTACAAATATGAAAATCCTTGAAATTAAACCTGTTTCTTTATTCAGTTCATTCCGCATTTCCGCCCCAGGCTGCAATTTTACCATTGATCGGGAACTTCTTGAACTTGTCACTGGCCAGGTATTTTGCAACCTGAGGAATAGCCTCGAAATCTTTCTTGTATCTTACCAAATTGGGCAAGTTCTCATACATTTTCGGCTCCATGCATTCCATGAAGTCCAGGGTCGACCAGAACTGGAAGTCACCGATGAATAAATTTTCTCCGTTGAGCCACTTGCGTGTCGACAGCCTCTTGTCAAATGAAGCTAAAGAATATTTTTGAATACAAGGCTTAATTGATATGAATATCCTCAATTCTGCTTGTCACTTTTTTTAGGACTTAAGTACTTCTTAATGCGTATTGTAACACAACCCTCAAGCTTCTAATAAAGCGCATGACAATATCTGGCGCCTACATCTCAAAAAAAGCTGCTCAATTTAACCTTTTTTCTCCAAGTTCAAAGTTTGGGGCTCAAGTTAGAAAAGAAAAAAAGCATGATTACAAAACAGAGTCAACGTTTTTGTTTCGTACGCCAATGGATTAAATTAAAACTACGACTACAGAAGAAACAAGTTTTCAAAAATCAAAAACGTTCGAAAACTTTTAACCCCCTATATAATTTATGTAATTTATACTCATCAGAAAAGGAAAGATTTGGCGGTTTGAGCGGATTTATGTCTGATTTCGCTCAATTCTTGCTACAGAATGAGCAGTTTGAGTGGTTTTTCAGCGTTTTACCAGCAAGATTTCAGCGAAATTCGAGCTCAAATTCTACGCAGTCTCTGAGCGGTTTTTTAACCAAAGCGCTCAAAACCGCCCATCGCCGATATTATTTAGGAAAAATTGCTCACTTTTTAAAGAAAAAAAAATAGCTGAACAAGCGCCCGTTATATAAGAAACCACTCATTCTGAAGATTTTTTTCAACCGTAAATCATATTAAAAGTTGCTCATAGTGCTCAAATTTCGCTTCAAGTTTTTATATTTCTCGCTTGAAAATTGTCTGGGGCAAACATCCGATATGTAAAACATCGGCTTTGTCAAACATCCGAAATTACAGAGCAATTACTTATTTTGATGTAGGAATTTCAAACAGTAGACATTGTGCAATAAACCGATTCCAATTGAGACTATTCTCGGTTTAATGTGGCAGGTGGATAACCGCTCTGGCGATTACCGGCTCTAAGAATCTGATGTCAGATGAGTTTCGCCTTCTGAGGGCTCTAAAATATGAGTTTCACCTTCTGATGGCTCTAAGAGATGAGTATCACCTTGTGCTGTCAGATGAATTTATGCCATTCCCCCGGATTGGCACAGTCGAACCTGCCGGCTCACGTAAAAAAGAACATTAAAGGCGTTAAAGGCCTTTAACATTAAAGAACATTAAAGGCATTCAATTTCGATTTGAACTAAAAAAATTTCTGCGAAATGCGAAAAACGGCCATTTTGACCCGAAAAAAAAAAACAGAATAAGAAAACAACCAAATAACAAGGCCAGAATCAGTCGGAAAAATAGAAAGGAAACGAAGCCTCCTATCGTGGGAGGAAGACACGATAAGGTGCTTATTGAACGACGATCATATAGACGGAAGGTCTAGTGGACATTCGGGACGGATCCGAACCCTCCCGTGCCACGAAATCAGAGAGATAACGATGGTATCTCCGGGAGAGTACGGAGTCAGAGGCCCGGTGCCCAGAGACTGTGAGAGACATTAACAGTATATTTTAACTGCTGTAATGCCCTGAACGTATTAACTTACTCCAATATTGTTTAGTATTTCAGAGCTAGAGTAGTTAGAGTCGAGGAAAGACTTAATCCATCTCTAATGAATTTGATATATAACTCTCACTAAAAACATATTGAGTTCTGGTTTTCTAGCGGTCTTTTTAGTAGTAATCACGTAGTCTGGGGATCCGAGACCCGGCTATCTGGTTATCTTCGCCTGTAAACGAAAGCTGATCAAAAGTCGTTTGGCTGATGGCCTAAAAAGGCTAACCTATTACTTAGCCCTTTGCAGACCAGAAAAATGACTGACGAGGTAAAGACGGTTAAAAACTAGTAGGATTCGAGTACCTGACGTCAGCCAGTCGTCAATAGGTACTATTTTCACGCTTTATCACTGTAATGTCTGGGTGAATGTTACAGTTTAACCTTCTGGTAGCTCTAAGAGATGAGTTTCACCTTCTGATGGCTCTCAGAGATTAGTTTCACCTTCTGATGGCTTTAAGAGATGAGTTTCACCTTCTGATGTCAGATGAGTTTCACCTTCTGATGGCTCTAAAAGATGAGTTTCACCTTCCGAAGGCTCTTAGAGATGAGTTTCACCTTCTGATGGTTCTGAAAGATGAGTTTCACCTTCTGATAGCTCTAAGAAATGAGTTTCACCTTCTGATGGCAGATGAGTTTCACCTTCTGGTGGCACTTTGACACTACTGCGGCGGCCATTGATAGTTTAGCCAATGAATTGAAGACCATTTTATCCACGAAGGAAAGGACCAACATATAGAGAGTTGTAAAAAGTTCGGACAGAGAGAATTATTTAAAAAGAGAACTGTTTGGACATCAACAGAAATTAAAACTGAAATAAACATAACGTCGAAATTTCATAAAACAGAATTACGGGATCTACTGAACAATCCCCCCTTTAAAAAAGGGGAGGATATTGTTAATAAAAATTTTTGCAGCGAACCTTCGACCAATCAGAATGCAGCAAAATTCGAATTTACATACAATGTTCCAGTACGAGTTTACTGTTTTTAATTACAGGGATGTGGATTCTTCAGGAGATGCAATAGGAGGGGGGAGGGAGATTGTTAAGTAGATCCGAGTTTCACTCAAAACCTATAAACACGGCTAGCAATTGCATCCGAAGCGTCGAAATGTTTTATAGTAAATTCCGGATGTTCATCGCAGTATTTAAAACTTAGGCTAGCATAATCATCGGATAATCGACAATCTTGCATTTTGATTTTGGTCTGACAAAAAATTCAAGGTTGTTCGTTCGGCTTTAGATTTTGCATGCAAAAAAGCGACGAAAAGCACTCATTGCTCATTTTAGTTAATTCTATCTGTCGGAACTTTTTGCTACTAATTATACGAGCTGTACAGATCATCGATTGATATCCGACCTCGAACATCCGACTTCGAATATCAGACTTTTCGATTCATAGGCGGAGACGCGACCACTTCACCACGGCTCCCCTTAGTGATGCAAACATAATGCAGCATCTTTTAAGCGAACGATAGAAGTCGAAGGATCCTTGACCTAATTTTTGAAAAGTGTCTCAGGATGTTTGCCCAATGAAAGTTGCTTTTTTCGCCCATTTGCATCACTTTTTGATTTTTCAGCTGTTTGCCATGACATATCGGATGTTTGCACTGTCATGCAGCTAGCTGGAAAAACAGATAGTTCTTACCTAACTTCTTCGGAACTCTGTCCATGAAGTCGATCTTCTTAGTCTCGAAACCATCACCATAACACAGGAAGGCGAAGCCCATTCTAACATCCAAAACGGTGTCAATCAGGGCCTCCAGTTGCGCCATTTCCTCTGGGGATTCGAGTGCCGGATAGAGAACGCCCTTGCGTCCGAGGTACTTCAAAATTGCCACAGATTGACAAAAGACGAAGTCTCCGTTTTTAAGGTAGGGGATGTTTGGAAAATCAGCTCCTAGTTTCGGCTTGTCCTCTTCGAACCATTCGGTCATTGCGTCATATTCGTAGCTTTTGGTCTCGTAAGGCAATCCTAGATACTCCATAACTGGAGGATAGGGCAAAATCTAAGCAGATATTTGTGAAGTTTTCAAATTTTTAACGGCCAAAAAATTACAATCAAAAATTGTCATTATTTTTATTGACATAATGATAGTTTTTCTTCTCAGAAAAAAAACAATTTAAAATACTGCTTTAAAAGCCTTTAGATTTTTCAAGTCAAAAACTAACAAAAATATTATAGAGCGCTGATAATTTGTGCGTTCAACGGCTTTTTGAAAATATCTTTTTTTTATTGTCTGCTTAAATTCATTGCTAGATGAATTGGTTCAATGAACCCTCGAATATTCCAGTAGCACAATTGATAGGTCATTCTCATCCTGATTTTGGTAGAAAATCGCAAATACTGATAGTTTTGATGGTAAATGGCAATGACAGTAATGCTATCGAATCTGAAACTAAAATTCAAATCCAGAAAATGGCAAAAAGGCTGAATTTACTAATTAAATACATGAAAAGCAGATTGTTCAAGTAGGCCTAATATCATATGTCAGCAAGCGTCAGTCAACTACCTTTATCTCTCAAAATGGCTCCATTCAAAATGATTAGGGGCAGGTAAAATCGGGAACAACCCAGTAGCGAGCATGCACTTTTATAGAGTTGCAAAACGTTGGAACAGACAAAGTTAAAGAGCAACTGAAAAAATCAGAGCAACTGAGAACCTTAAATTAATTAACAAGAGCAATTGACCTATTTTGGAAAACTTTTGCATGCAAAATCTAACTTTTCATCCGATTTTGTGTCTCAAGGTTGCATGAAAAAAGAAATTGCATGCAAAAATCTGTCAAATGGTATGATTGCTCTTTTAAACTAATTCTGTCTGTCCGAACTTTCTGCAACTCTCTATAATTTTTCAGACAGAAAGTATGTCTCATTGTCACCTAAAAAACAAAATTTGCATGCAAAAATTGCTCGAAATTGGCAGATTGCTTTTATAAATTCATTCTGCCGCTGGTCAAAATTTTTGTACTTGAAGTATGAGTCTTGTTGCTCCAAAAACTGCGGCAGATTGTTATTGAGTGAAAACATTTTCAAATTTTTAAGCTTAAGGTTTGTTCAAAATGGATTTTTCTAAAAAAGCGCTATCTTTTTGCATAGCTCTTTTGACAGTTCAAACGCAGTTTCGAAAGACTCAAATTTATTAGAAAAAATTTAAAAAAAGAGAATTTCACTGGCTGAGAAAATGAAGGCTGGGACTTTGACACAAATAATTTGACGCCGACTGTTGCATCAATGTAGCTGGTGAGTGCGCTTCAGTAGCTGGCTCTTATTTTTGTGTTGAATTTCGCTTCAAATTTTTATATTTCTGGCTTGAAAAATGTCTGGGGCAAACATCCGATATGTAAAACATCCGCTTTGTCAAACATCCGAAATTACAGAGCAATTACTGATTTTGATGTAGGAATTTCAAACAGTAGACATTGTGCAATAAACCGATTCCAATTGAGACTATTCTCGGTTTAATGTGGCAGGTGGATAACCGCCCTGGCAATTACCGGCTCTAAGAGTCTGATGTCAGATGAGTTTTGCCTTCTGAGGGCTCTAAAATATGAGTTTCAATTTCTGATGGCTCTAAGAGATGAGTATCACCTTGTGCTGTCAGATGAATTTGTGCCATTCCCCCGGATTGGCATAGTCGAACCTGCCGGCTCACGTAAAAAAGAACATTAAAGGCGTTAACGTCGGAACTGAGATGAATAGGAGGCGCAAAATGTTCTGGGAATAAAATTTTCAAAGTTTCGATTTGAACTAAAAAATTTCTGCGAAATGCGAAAAACGCCGTTTTGACCCGAAAAAAACCAGAATAAGAAAACAACCGAATAACAAGGCCAGAATCAGTGGGAAAAATAGAAGAGAAACGAAGCCTCCTATCGTGGGAGGAAGACACGATAAGGTGCTTATTGAACGACGATCATATAGACGGAAGGTCTAGTGGGACATTCGGGACGGATCCGAACCCTCCCGTGCCATGAAATCAGAGAGATAACGACGGTATCTCCGGGAAGTACGGAATCAGAGGCCCGGTGCCCAGAGACTGTGAGAGACATTAACAGTGTATTTTAATTGCTGTAATGCCCTGAACGTATTAGCTTACTCCAATAATGTTTAGTATTTCAGAGCTAGAGTAGTTAGAGTCGAGGAAAGACTTAATCCATCTCTAATGAATTTAATATACAACTCTCACTAAGAACATATTGAATTGTGGTTTTCTAGCGGTGTTTTTAGTAGTAATCACGTAGTCTGGGGATCCGAGACCCGGCTATCTGGTTATCTTCGCAAGTAAACGAAAGCTGATCAAAAGTCGTTTGGCTGATGGCCTAAAAAGGGTAACCTATTACTTAGCCCCTTGTAGACCAGAAAATGACTGACGAGGTAAAGACGGTTAAAAACTAGTAGGATTAGAGTACCTGACGTCAGGTACTATTTTCACGCTTTATCACTGTAATGTCTGGGTGAATGTTACAGTTTCACCTTCTGGTAGCTCTAAGAGATGAGTTTCACCTTCTGGTAGCTCTAAGAGATGAGTTTCACCTTCTGAGGGCTCTAAGAGATGAGTTTCACCTTCTGATGGCTCTCAGAGATTAGTTTCACCTTCTGATGGCTTTAAGAGATGAGTTTCACCTTCTGATGTCAGATGAGCTTCACCTTCTGATGACTCTAAAAGATGAGTTTCAACTTTTGATGGCTCCAAGAGATGAGTTTCACCTTCTGATGGCTCTAAAAGATGAGTTTCACCTTCTGATGGCTCTAAGAAATGAGTTTCACCGTCTGATGGCTCTAAGAGATAAGTTTCATCTTCTGATGGCTCTAAGAAATGAGTTTCACTTTCTGATGGCAGATGAGTTTCACCTTCTGGTGGCACTTTGACACTACTGCGGCGGCCATTGATGGTTTAGCCAATGAATTTAAGACCATTTTATCCACGAAGGAAAGGACCAACATATAGAGAGAGAGTTGTAAAAAGTTCGGACAGACAGAATTAATTAAAAAGAGAACTGTTTAGACATCAACAGAAATTAAAACTGAAATAAACATAACGTCGAAATTTCATAAAGCAGAATTGCGCGATCTACTGAACAATCCCTCTTTTAAAAAAGGGGAGGAGATCGTTAATAAAATTTTTTGCTGCGAATTTTCGACCAATCAGAATGCAGCAAAATTCGAATTTACACACAATGCTCTAGTGCGAATTTACTGTTTTTATTTACAGGGATGGAGATTCTTTAGGAAATGCAATAGGGGGGGGGGATTGTTAAGTAGATCAGAGTTTCACTCAAAACCTATAAACACGGCGGGCAATTGCATCCGAAGCGTCGAAATGTTTTATAGTAAAATCTGGATGTTCATCGCAGTATTTAAAACTTAGGCTAGCATAATCATCGGATAATCGACAATCTTGCATTTTGAATGAAGGTTGTTCGTTCGGCTTTAGATTTTGCATGCAAAAAAGCGACGAAAAGCACTCATTGCTCATTTTAGTTAATTCTATCTGTCGGAACTTTTTGCTACTAATTATACGAGCTGTACAGATCATCGATTGATATCCGACCTCGAACATCCGACTTCGAATATCAGACTTTTCGATTCATAGGCGGAGACGCGACCACTTCACCACGGCTCCCCTTAGTGATGCAAACATAATGCAGCATCTTTTAAGCGAACGATAGAAGTCGAAGGATCCTTGACCTAATTTTTGAAAAGTGTCTCAGGATGTTTGCCCAATGAAAGTTGCTTTTTTCGCCCATTTGCATCACTTTTTGATTTTTCAGCTGTTTGCCATGACATATCGGATGTTTGCACTGTCATGCAGCTAGCTGGAAAAACAGATAGTTCTTACCTAACTTCTTCGGAACTCTGTCCATGAAGTCGATCTTCTTAGTCTCGAAACCATCACCATAACACAGGAAGGCGAAGCCCATTCTAACATCCAAAACGGTGTCAATCAGGGCCTCCAGTTGCGCCATTTCCTCTGGGGATTCGAGTGCCGGATAGAGACCGCCCTTGCGTCCGAGGTACTTCAAAATTGCCACAGATTGACACAAGACGAAGTCTCCGTTTTTAAGGTAGGGGATGTTTGGAAAATCAGCTCCTAGTTTCGGCTTGTCCTCTTCGAACCATTCGTTCATTGCGTCATATTCGTACCTTTTGGTCTCGTAAGGCAATCCTAGATACTCCATGACTGGAGGATAGGGCAAATTTTAAGCAGATATTTGTGAAGTTTTGAAATTTTTAACGGCCAAAAAATTAGATTCAAAAATTGTCATTAATTTTTATTGACATAATAAACGTTTTTCTTCTCAGAAAAAAAAAATTTAAAATACTGCTTTAAAAGCCTTTAGATTTTTGAAGTCAAAAACTAACAAAAATATTATAGAGCGCTGATAATTTGTGAGTTCGACGGCTTTTTGAAAATATCCTTTTTTTATTGTCTGCTTAAATTCATTCCTAGATGAATTGGTTCAATGAACCCTCGAATATTCCAGTAGCCCAATTGATAAGTCATTCTCCTCCTGTTTTTGGTAGAAACTCACAAATAATGGTATTTTTGATGGTAAATGGCAATGACAGAAATGCTATCGAATCTGAAACTGTAATTCAAATTCAGAAGTTGGCAAAAATGCTGAATTTACTATTCAAATACGAGAAAGTCAGATTGTTCAAATAGGCCTAATGTCATATGTCAGCAAGCGTCAGTCAACTACCTTATCTCTCAAAATGGCTCCATTCAAAATGATTAGGGGCAGGTAAAATCGGGAACAACCCAGTTGCGAGCATGCACTTTTATAGTTGCAAAACGTTGGAACAGACAAAGTTAAAGAGCAACTGAAAAAATTAGAGCAACTGAGAACCTAAAATTAATTAAAAGATCAATTGACTTATTTTGGAAATTTTTTGCATGCAAAATCTAACTTTTCATCCGATTTTGTGTCTCAAGGTTGCATGAAAAAAGAAATTGCATGCAAAAATCTGTCGAAATGGTACGATTGCTCTTTTAAATTAATTCTGTCTGTCCGAACTTTTTGCAACTCTCTATAATTTTTCAGACAGAAAAGAAAGTATGTCTCATTGTCACCTAAAAAATAAAATTTGCATGCAAAAATTTCTCGAAATTGGCAGATTGCTTTTATAAATTGATTCTGCCGCTGGTCAAAATTTTTGAACTTGAAATATGAGTCTTGTTGCTGCAAAAACTGCGGCAGATCAATACTGTATTGAGTGAAAACATTTTCAAATTTTTGAGCTGAAGGTTTGTTCAAAAGGAATTCTCTAAAAAAGCGCTATCTTTTTGCATAGCTCCTTTGACAGTTCAAACGCAGTTTCGAAAGACCCAAACTTATTAGAAAAAAATTAAAAAAAGAGAATTTGACTGGCTGAGAAAATGAAGGCTGGGACTTTGACGCAAATAATTTGACGCCGACTGTTGCTTCAATGTAGCTGGTGAGTGCGCTTCAGTAGCTGGCTCTTATTTTTGTGTGGAGTCTTATCCTCAACTGGTAAGCTCGCCGCGCTGTTTTGCCGCTTATGTTGCTTGATTTTATCCGGTTGTACGATAGACAACTGAAATATGCATTAGAAACGTTTTGCAGTTAAAGCTGAATAGCCACTATTTTGCTGTTTACGCTGTTTGTACAAAACACAACTAGCTGTATGCTGCTGGTTCGTTTTAGTGTTAAAATGATAATTTCTCAATTAGAATAAAGCTCGACTAGCATAAGTTTCTGAAAACATGTAAAGATATCAACTAGCAGATTTTTGATAGCTTTTTTTCTCAGTAATACAATACAACAATCACAATCCGTTCAAAACAAAATTTGCATTTCTAAGAGCTGGAAAATTGAGCAACTGAGAAATCCAGCAACTAACAAGAAAATACATTTTATAAACACTTGAATTGTGATCAGCCACGCCTCTACCTGTGATAACTGAAGCAGAACATTAAAAACTTTTAATTGTGTGAAAAACAGTTGGGTATTTTTACTTGTTCCGCCAAAAATCAATATTCATCATCTTGAACTGAAACGATTTTATTTTAGGCTGATTGGCAAGAACTAGCCGATCAAATTTCAGTACCAGCTTGAAATGTTTTGTTCAAAACTTTAAATGAAAGTATAAACTAGTCGAATTAGCCTTAAATGAAGCAGGTTTGGTGAACTGCGCAGAATCATTTCAAATACGCTTCAGAGTGTTACCCAGATAGGAAACAAATAGAAAGAAAACTGCACCAGCGAAAAACTGCTTTCCGTATCTACTTAAAGTTCGGCATCGTTAGAAGTCGGCTTAAAAATGAAGTGATCGCATTTGTATTGATCAAATCAACGAGTGTTATCATTCTGTTGTTCTCAATATTTATACACTTAATTTTACAAAATCGTACAATTAAAAATTTTGTGCAGAATAAGTGATAAAACCCAAACATATTATTCTACATAAATTTTGTTTGGTAAAATTGTTTTAGTTCGGACAATAAATTTTTTATACCCCATTGAAGATATCTACTTCCTGAGTTCAAATTTAAAATGATATTTTACCAAATTGGCCCTGTTCTGGACTAAATAATGCGCGCTTTGAAGCATTTACTTATATTGCTGAGAGCATAACGCAAATTATTTATGCGTGGTGGATTATCCCGCACAACAAAATCGTTCCAAATTGAATTGAGGCTAGCTAATCAGATTGGCTTATTACTTCCGTACGACTCAACATATCACACTTTGATATCGTCCAAAATTTATAGGTTTTAAATATTTTCATTTCTCAAAAACTATTCGATATGACTTAAACGACTGTCGGAACATTCAGGGCTTCAACCTGATTTACGAGCAGTCTTGTTCGTATCTTGATTTTTTCGATTTATTTTTGAAACAATTTTAATTGTTACGCTAGTCGATGCATCGGCGTTAACGATCCAGAGTTTTCACTAGTTAGATCAAAACTCAGCGTTTGAGATTTTTAGGTTTTGAATAAACTTACGTCTAGAAATTAGAATGTTTGAGTTATAACAGATTGTATTTTTGGAATATGAGAAAAAAATAACTTAAGCAATTTCAAAAAACGTCAAAAAATTGATCCATAATTCAAAAAATGGTAAGAGTTTTTAATATGCCAACAACAGGTGCGGAATTAAATTTTTCTGAGGAGTGGCAGTTTCTTTGACCAAAATGTTTTTCAAGCTCTCCCAATTACTATCAAAAGCTTGTGCGCCAATATCCTCTGAACCGTAGGCAGAATTGAAGTGAAGGAATAAAAAAAATTGTGTGCAAATTTTCAATAGTTTCGACCAAAGGATGCTTTTCGACCAAAGGATGTCAAAAAAGAACCAAAAAAGGGAATCTCCGCTTTAAAACGCGGTGAGTTTCCCACAAGCTTGCATTTCCCGGATTATTTGTTTTTCAGTTTTCTAGTTCGTGCATAGAAAAAGTATGCAATAGTATGTAATAGTCGAGTGTTGTGCAGGTAGAACAGAGTGTTCTAGTTAGTAATGTTTTTTTTTGCTATTTAATTTTCATCCACTTTTTTTCATTTTTTTTTCAACAATGTGCCAGGAAGAAGACGATGCTTAGATTAAACCAAAATCTGGAACTCTTATCAAAAGGTAAGCGGTCATCAGATTTCTTCATCACTTCTTTCTAGTTTAGGCTGAAATATGAAAAAATTCTGATCAATTTTGCTTGTGTTTCATTTTATCGTGTCCGTTTATGAATGCACATAACAAGAAAGGGCTTCAATTTGAAACCCCACTTAAACCTATATAAGTTTTTCTTGAGGCTAACAAAAATGGCTTAAAAAGGCAGACTTGAACCCAAACTTCCTTCCAAAATTTCAGAATCTTAAAAAGCTTACATAACTCTATCAAAAATTTGAAGCTCTCTGAAGTTCGAAAACTGAATGTAGACAAATTTTTAAAAGAGTCGTGCAAAATTTTGCGTACCGCTCGCAATTAAGTATAAACTTAAATCATGTTAGACTCTTGTAAAACTTCGGTACCCATTTTTTTTCTTTATTTTTTTCAAACTTTACTGATGACCTGTAAAATATCTGAATTTGTGAAATATCTGAATTTGCAAGTTATGTGTTTTCCCACTGTTCAATCATAACATATTATCTTTAATAAGTGTTTCAAACACTACTGAATATTTACGCAAATGTTTGTTTTTCAAACTATAGGACTATTTGCCTATTTTGAGAACAGAATGTCGAAACATTTTTAAAGTGCCTGCAAAATGTTTGTGTCATGCTTATGGGCATTTTTTATGTGTCTCATGTTTCGAAGAAAAAATAATTCAATTTGTTTAGTGTGAGACGTAGTCAAGTAAAAGCTATAGACTAGCTGAGTTTTACGGCAGAAAAATACCTCAAAGAGTAAAGTTTTGTGTCCGAATTGAATTGGGTATAAAAATTTTCTATCAGAACTTTTTCTTTTTTTGAGAACGTTGCATCAGATTTATTTCTTAAAAACCTTTTCTCCAGATTAATGGTACTGCTTAAAAAGGTTCGGCTCAGTAGTTTTTGTTTTGCAAATTGGTGTTTCTCGTTAAAACTGCGTACTCAATAAAAACTATAGCTCGTAGCATCTGAAATCAACATTACGGATATTCAGTTATTATTCAGATTATAGATATCACTTGATCGATTTAGTGGGTTTTGAAAACCAAGAAAACAGGACTAATTTGAGTGTTCCGTTATACTGGGCGTAGCCATCAGCAGGCCCACAATGATGGATTAAAACCTGTTGTTGGATCAACATTTGATGGCAGCGACAGTAAAAGAGAGTATTGAACTACCTATGATAATGCAATCAGCAGATCCTTTCATATGACAGCCACTACCGAGACTGGAATTACCAAGATTGTCGGAACGGCTGAATATTGTGCACGAATACCGCGAGATAGATTGAGAGAGATAAACAGAAGCAAAAAAAGTCGAAAGAACATGAGAGATCCAGAAGTAGGATTTCATGTATTCTACACTGAAGTCCAACCGAAATTGGTCTCAGGCTTAATTATTTTGTTGAGGTCAAAGGCCACAAAAACTTCGGCCAACGAACATTTTTGTGGATATCTCCTGACTATCATTTGAAGATCAATTGATATAGTCACGATAAAGTTTGCAAAAATCAATTTTTTTTAGATATGAACGATTTAAACTGTTCAAGAGAATACAGGAAAGCATTGAGACTTAAGAAACGTTTCATGCTGCATTAACTGCTCAAACAGCCAGATCAGAATTGGACCTACTCATCTCTCGAATGAAGAATTTCACAATTCAAGATAGGCTACCAGTTGAAACATCCTCACCAGAAAAAAAAACATTGAAACTTACTCACAACTTCGAACAAGCAAGTGATCAAAAAAAAGAAGCTTACCAAAAATAGTCAGAAAGACAAGGGGTAAAAAAGGACAGCCTAAAAAAAACAACTGATCATGTGTGTCAGAAACCAAGATATTAGTACATAGAATTTATCGTATAAAAAGTTCTGACAAAAAAGAAACAGTAGCAAGTAGGATAGAGTGAAAAAAAAATGTTTAAGGTGTGGTAAATTGTGGTAAAAAGTAAAATGTAATTCGCAACAGATAAATTAGATAGCAGCAGAATTGTCGGAGGAGTCCAAGAAATGCACGCTAGATGAGAACGCGGACTAAACGGGTCATTACGAGATAGAAGCTGCTGAAAAAAATTGAGAATCGAAAAAGATCGAAGGGGGCATATTCGAACGAACAACGACAAGTAAAAAAACAGCACAAACAGCACAAATTCTTGTCAAACAAAATAAAAAAGGAAAAGGTTCTAGATGAAATCAATCAAATCCCCAGCTTCTAGATAAAATCAATCAAACCTATGAGGAAGGGATAGCCACATAATTAACACAAAGGTGGAAAGAGGTAGCACAAAGTTTTTTTCTAAACTGGAAAATGGCAAAGCAAAAACTGGACTTCACAATGGCAAATCATTTATCGGGAAAAAATGACTGTTAACGCAAAAATTGTTGGCCATGAAAAACCTACCGAGATTTTTGAAGCACTGAAGGCAGAAATTATTTCAGCAGGGTGGATCATTTATGAATTTTTTCTACTTTTCATGGAGCAAAAATCAGATGCATCGTAGAGTTTGATCTTTAAAAAAAATGGGAATTTCGGCATCACAGAAAACAATTTAATGTGTTAAAATGTGAAAAAAATACGGGACTACAAACAAGAGTAAGATGAGGAAAAAGAAAAATTATTTGAGAAGGGTGGCATTAAGAATCTTGATAAAACTACTTGTGTCTGTTTTATTGCGCCAATTGTTATCACCGTGAAAAAAGACAATGCGAGAAAATCGATGTTAGAGGGGAAACTCATCAAGTGTAAGTTATAGAAGAACAAAAATCAAGTGCCTACTGACGACAAGCCTCTAAACGACATGAGTCCAATAAGTTCTGAAGAAAAGGAAAGATTATTAATCTTCTCAGTGTTAGATCTAAAGTACTCATACAGTCAAATTAAACTAGCACCAGAAACAACCGATCAGTAGAAGTTTCTCGATTTAGGGCAGATGCTAAAGAGACATACAGATTTTGGACTGGGCTTCACGGAC